CGGGTTAATTGGGATGATTAATAATTTTTTATTAATATTTTTAATGACGTGGCATGCTGATTGGGCAAAAGGTAACAGAGTTTTGGACGGAAGTGGACGGATTGACCAATTCGTTATTCACTCAAACTTGTTTTACCAAAACGTGCAAAATTAACGATTTGTGACCGTTTTGTACAAAGTGAATAGGTTTGTGACCATTTACGATAACTACCCATAGAGGGGAGGATGCAGAGGAGAACAGGGAGGAAATAGATTTTTACAATTGAGATTGAAGGGGATAAAGGAGCCAAGGAGATGGGAGGAAGCGGAGCAGAAAGGGGAGGGAATGAGGGTTTTTTCCAGAGATCAATTGTTAGAAACAAGGTTTCTAACATATTTAATGTATTGTACTTATTTTTCGTTTTATGATTATTCGGATATTTGATCATCGTTTTGGGGTTAATTTGTTAGGAGGGATTAATTTGGGTAGTTATAGAGAATTCATGATTTTATATATCTCTATTGGTGGCATTTTACTCATTAAACAATAACAGAACAATTATTCCCTTAAACCTAATTCTCTCTCTCTACCCCCGTCAATCTCGATCTCTCCCTCTTTTCCTCTAGCAGCCATCAGCCTCTCCTCTTCCTTAGAGATCGATTTCTTTCTTCTTCCTCAATTCTCCAAATCAAATCCACGAGCCCTAGACGTACACGCCTAGGTCCGTGTGTCTTGCAAATTGCAATTGGTATCAGAGCCCGGTTGCCGTGGGGTTCGTGATGATGGCTGAAAAACCGCAGAAGACACAGAAGGAGGCGACCTTAATCAAGGACGCGACCAAGCACGAAAATATGCACCAGTTCCTGACGAACATATGGCAAAACAGACAGCCTAAGCATAGTTTCTGACGGACATGATGACGAAACAGACAGCTTCTGCCGCCCAAGCTCAGTAAGCCATGAGGCAAAATGCGATTGGGCTATCGGACTTGAGCGCTCAGCTGAGCGGGGGTTAGGAACTGATTCGAAGCCGCCATGGAGTGGTTGGGGTGAATGATGGTGGAAACGATCGCAATAATCGGCCAAGGAAAGCCGATCGCGAACCCGCTGGAGAAGCTTGCCGCGGCGGGCAACACAGTTGAGTTGTCGGCCGAGGCAGCGACCGAACCCAGCCGGGTTGCGGTGGTAGTGGAGGAGCAACGCCAGGGCGTCGGCAGCGCTAGTCCAGGCTGCGGCGGCAGCAGAGCAGGCGCGGGTATTGGCGACGGCGCCGACTCAAGCCGACGTAAGCACCGCAGTTCACGGGAACCCTCGTCGTGCAGGCCACGGGCCAAGCAAATGGGATAGCTGGTCGGGATTGCTACCTACTCCTCTTGGACAGGAGATGATGGAGACCCGAGGAAAGTGGAAGGCAACGCCTTCGAAGGCGAGCCCATGTTCGATGACCCATGAGGCGGAGGAATGGGGCCGCTCTGCTTGAACCGCTCGAGGAAGGGAGAGGAACTCAACTTCGTAGGCCAGGATGAGATTTGAGCCAACCCTGGTCCACCCCGGAGCTGACCGTGGGTGGATATCGTATCCAGGCAGGGCCAAATGGTTCCGACCTAGGCTGATCGGTCGGACCAGAGCTGACCAAATCGAACCTTGACCGACCTTAATTAACCTGAACTGATCTGAACCCGACCCGATTGTGGCGGACAGCAACATGAGAGGCCGAAGGGATTCGTGAAGTTGGCCCCATCCGAGATGGAGCAAAAATGCAGAGAAGAGCGCTGCTTCAACTGTGATGAGAGGTATACGATGGGACACCAGTGTGTTTAGAGTCATCTGATGCTATTGATGTGCAATTGGGAGGATGAAGGCGAGGACGTGGTGGCAACGGAGGCGGAAGAGGTGAAGGAAGGAGAGCAACAGAAGTAAGGCCAACCTTGAGGTCAAGGTTAGTCTCAAGGAGGGTAGATTTTTTGAAACTTGGTTTCTAACACGATTACTATTTTGAAATTATTTGTCATTTTATGAATATTCGGATATTTGGTCGTCATTTTGGGGGTAATTTGTTAGGAGGGATTAATTTGGGTAGTTATAGGGAATTCATCGGTTTATATATTCTGTATTAATGGGATTTTTCTCATTAGCATAACATAACAATTATTCCCAAAACTAAATTCCCCCCCCCCCCCCCCCCCCCGCCTAAGTTCTGGTCCTTAAGGCCTCTTTTTTAAGGAAGAACTTAAAGCCTTGTGATTGGCTGTTTCAAGATAAGGTAGTTAGTAGGAGTTATTAGTTAAAAAGTTGTTAGGGGTATTAAGGAGAATACAATTAAATTAAAACAAGCCTACCTTTTTTTAAAAACCCTAAACCGACGGTATGTAGGTCTTGGTCGGGTCTTCTCTTATTCCTCCGTCGTTCCACCTTCTCCGTCGTCCCAACTTCTCTGCCGTCCCAACTTCCCGTTGTCCCTAAAGCACGAGTCGTCGTCCCTTCTCCCTCCCACTTCGTTCGTTGTCACTGTAATCGTCCAGACGCAATCATCTTGAAGCGAAGACGCTCGTCCGGCGCTCCAGTCGAGTTCTCCGTCGTCGCTGTTCGAGTTCCCCGGCGCTTCAGTCGAGTTCCCCGGCGCTCCAGTCGAGTTCTCCGTCGTCGCTGTTCGAGTTCCCCCTCTTTCTCGTCCGGTCGAGTTCGCCCTCTCTCTCGTCCTGCGGTCGTGACTTGAGAGTTGAAGACGCTCGTCCGGTCGAGTTCTCCGACCGACTGTTCGAGTTCTTCCTCTCTCTCGTTTCAACTTTCAGCCTATCTTCGGCGGCCGCGTGATAAGATATTTTTTTGGCTCCGATTTTTTTGGCCGCTTGTTTGAGGGTTTTTGGCGTTGCATGTTGCATGGGATTAGGGTTTTGGCAATGCATGAGATTAGGGTTTTGTCGTTGCATGGGAGGAGTCTGGGTTGTACAATGGTAGATCCATTTTTTTATTTATTTGGTTTCTGTTATTAATAATTTTGTGGACGTTTACAGATTTTTTTCTGTCCATTGTCATTCGTTATCAACCTTTTGGCATCTATTATTAATCATTCCGTGGGCATTTGGAAACCGTGTTGTGTCTCTATTATTATTTAATACGTGCTCGTTTTCAACTTTTTTGTTTTCATTTATTAATCAATTTGTCATGCAAGTTAATTATTTGTGTCCATTGTTAATCAATCTGTGCACGTCAATTTTTCCGTCTCCAATATTCATTCGAATTTGGGAAATATTTTTCGTCGCGTTGATGCATAGGATTAGTCGGTGCACAATAGTATTTATTTTTAATTTTTTTGTGTCCATTGTTAATCAATTTTTGCTCGTTATGAACCTTTTTGCTATCTATTATTAATCATTCGGTGGGCGTTTTCAATGTTTTAGTCAACATTGTTAATCAATATGTTATCGCTCTCAACCTTTTGCTCTTTATTATTAATGAATCTGTCGTGTTATGTAAATTATTTAATTGCATTGGTAAATTTTTTTTTAGTCTCGTCATAATTAACGTGATAATTTTGTGAACACCATAATCAATTGTTCTCGCTCTCAATTTTTGTGTCCATTGTTAATCAATTTCTGCTCGTTATGAACCTCTTTGCTATCTATTATTAATCATTCGTTGGCCGTTTACAATGTTTTAGACAACATTGTTAATCAATATGTTCTCGCTCTCAACCTTTAGCTCTTTATTATTAATGAATCTGTCGTGTTATGTAAATTATTTAATTGCATTGGTAATTTTTTTTTTTAGTCTCGTCATAATTAACGTGATAATTTTGTGAACACCATAATCAATTCTTCTCGTGTTATGGTTTTTGAGTATTGATAGTTATCAATACTACAAAGTCATGTTATTTTATTAACATTTTATTTGTGTATTGATCGTTATTGGATAATGGATTATTAATGATTTCGTGGACGTTCTTTATAATATTTTACAGTGATCCACGATATGGCACGTACGAAGAATACAACGCGTAAGCCTGCACCGTTTAGTAAGCCTATGAAGAAAAAGGCAGATGCACCCATAGCTGATGACAATCGCTTACCAATCAGGTGCAGTGTGTCTCAAGTCCGCAAGATCGTTAAGAATATTAGCCCAAGTCGTGCGGCTATACTTCGAAGTTATGGGTTCGGCTTTGTTCTTAACTTGCAGATGCGTAGTATTGACCAGGATTATTTGCGTTTGGTAAATGTTAATTTTGATGGTGAGTCAACGAACAACTAGCATTTTTAATTGGATTTATTTTCCTGTTGTGTTTTCAACTTTATCCTTAGTCACTATCCATAAAAATTGTTTCAGTATTAATTGTGAGCATCTGTCCTTGTAACATTTTGTAGGTGAGTCTATGTCGTTCCAGATGCCTGGCGGGGTACGCTTGTACCTTACTGAGGATGACGTCGAACGCGTGTATGGCTTGCCTAAGGGTACCAATATTGTTGATCTTGACATCTTCGACCAGCGCAATACAAAGGAATGGGCGTTGGCTCTTGGCATATCCACAGTCGGCCCAAATATGATTGACCTAATGCAGTTGAAGACTGACATGAGGAACACAACCGATGATGAATCTTGGGTGCAGATGTGCATTCTATTGAGCATTGAATATGTTTTGGACCCAAATGGCAGTATGACTGTGATGCATAAGTACCTTGGATTCATGAGGGGGAGAGCTGCTGAAGAGATTAGAAACTACAATTGGTGTGGTCACATGATGAGCCGGGTGAGACGAGCTATTCTTGGCAATTCAGAAAGAAAATATGTGGAGGGCGATGTGCACTTTCTTATATGTGCATTCCTGGACCGGACCGGTGTGCCAAACACACCTGGAACAGTTTCTACCATTATACCAAGTTGTACGTTATGGAATGAGAAACGAGTATCAGGTCGCAAGGAAGCAGTCCTTAGTACTTCCAATGATCTGAGGCTTGTCCCTATATTGGATTTTCCAGGGTCTAAGACCAATAAGAACAAACTGGTGGAGGAGATTGGAAAAACTGGGGCTAAGCATGTTGATTCTATGGGCATTGCTAGAGAGGTTTGTTCGAAAGGGGTGCAACCAGAGAATTCTGATGGGGGAGAATCTGAACAAAACATGAAGCCCAAGTCACTCTTCGAACTTATGTCCTTGGGACCGACCACATGGACACGAATGAGGTTAGCCCCTTAATTTTTACAATTATCAATGTTATTGTTTATATTATCAATATTTTCACCCTTATTATCAACTATTTTTCGGTTGACTATGTCTTCGAAATGCAGCTTTTGTATATGCGGAAGGAGGCTTCAAACTTCCTTGCAACGCTTCGCGGTCAGGTGACCTTCTTCGAAAGACTTGTTGGTGTCTGCGATTCAGAGTTAACCAGTCGTGACGTCACCTCATTTGATGATGAAGATGAAGCTGTCAACGGCTCCGCCTCTCGGGGGGAGATTGTTCCTGAGTTTTCGGTGGAGGGATCTGCTTCGAAAATTGCAACCCCACCTGCTAAAGGTATTGAAGAGATTTGCACATCGGTTGATAGTCCCGGTTAGTTTCCTACTAATTTCATGTCAATTATTAACTAGGATTCCCAATACATTAATTTTATAGAACTTTTTATCAATATTTTCACACGATAATTAAATTTGCCATCCTTGTTTTATATCAATGTCGATCTCTCCCTCTTTTCCTGTAGCAGCCGTCGACCTTTCCTCTTCCTTGGAGACTGATTTCTTTCTTCGTCCTCAAACTTCTTCTTCCAAATCCCTAATCTCTACCTCAATTCTCAATTCTCCCAATCAAATCCACGAGCCACAACCCTAAACGTACATGTCTAGATCCGTGTGTCTTACATTAATGGTCATGCTTGGCGAGCTCAAGATGGTAAACACGTGGTTAAAAAAACTGGCCCGCAACAAAATAAAAAGCCCTTTCTGAATAGTAATCCCGAATTTGTTAAGGATCCGTACCAAATTTTCTTATGCTTGTGGTTTTATAATTCTAATTCTAATAAATAAATGCGAGTAAAATGAAAAGCTCCATTTCGAACACACAACAACTATAGTTTCCATTATTGTTTACGGCAAAGGGTGCCAACTGCCAACAATAAGACGAAAAGAAAGAAAAGCAAAGAAAGAGAGGAAAAAGAAGAGGGGGTGGGGGAACGATATTCCAAGGTAAAACTTTAATAGAATGACTGCCTTTGTGAATAGTGATCCCGAATTTCTTAAGAAACAGTGCCGAATTTTTTATATGCTTGCGGTTTTATAATTCTAATAATAACTAACTAATGACTAATAATAATAAATAAATGCGAGTACAATAAAAAGGTCCATTCCGAACACACAACAACTGTAATTTCCCATTATTGTTTACAGCAAAGGGTGCCAGACGAAAAGAAAAGAAAGGAAGAAGAAAGGAAGAAGAAAAAAAAACGATAGATTGAATGCCCTTTCTTTTGGTATTTTACTTCGCAGAGTCTCATTCATGCACATATGGACTGCTGTTGGTTGTCGTATAACCCACTCGCCCCACCTGCGAACCGCTGCCTGTTTCTTCTTCGCCTCTTTGTCACAACTGTAAATCCTTCACTATCGCCTTTCTTCTTGTTTTCTGCAACGCTCTTTGTAACCTGTTCCCGGGGACGACTACGATCCCCCGCCGCAACATGACCTCCCACCCTTGCTCCCCTATCCATGGCTTCTACCCGCGCCGCCACGTTCCTGTCAGTCTTCGATGAATTTCCAGCATCCTGCAGCATCTTCTCACTGTTCTGCGCAGATTTCACGACGAAGCTAAGCAGTATTTGCCTCGCGAGTTCGGCCTTCTCGGACTCCGATCTGGTGGCCTTTCCTGAAACTCCATCTCTGCCTTCGTTACTGGATTTCTCATCTCCGGTTTCATCTGCCTCGGGAAATGAATCGGATTCAGCCGTGCTCGAGTCTCCATTCCGGTGCCTTGTCACCCACGCTTTCCTTGGTATGAATTCCGCAGCGTGTGGGTTCATGGTTCTAGCAGATATTATCGGCATAGGAGCTTGGTATTTCAGGAAGCCACGCTGCAAGCTGAACGACCGGCTTGATCTGAAGTAGAAGCGCGATCGTGGTCCACGAGCAACTCTCGCAGAGACCGGCGGAGCAACTGGATGTTCAACCGGATCATGACTAGCTCCAATGTCACAAATGGCAGTGATGGGAGCTGGATTATATGGCTCAGCTGCAGCTGAAAGTTTACTCGCATTTTCTGTGCATTTATTCTGGTCAAAGGAAGCACTCTCCTCTGCAACTTTACCAACTGATTCATCTGTCTGAGTCATGCTCTCATCTACTCTGTCTGCCTTGCTATTGTCAGTTGCATCCTGTAATGGTGACTGCTCGTAGCATGTCTGTTTCTTCTCAGGTGTTTCATCATTTTGTTCGTCCACAGTGTTGTCCACAAACGGTTTCAGAACAGTTCCCGGCAGAGCAATGGCTACTTCCTTGTAAGACAGTGACCTATTCACCACAGCAGCGAAATTTAATTGAGCAGATGAAGATTTCGATTCAGGAGACTTTGCCTGGTGTTTGATTGACTGTTCCCTGAAACTATGTTGAATATTGGGTTTCTTGAGCGAAGTAGCGTCCTTTGTATATGCTGTTCGGTTTATGAAACTTGAACGATGAGAATCCTTTCTGTTTAGCTTTGCGGGAGCTGGTCTTCTGCGACCAGACTTGATGCTAGCAGCACGAACCAACCTCCCTTTTGGATGGGCTTCTTGCCACCCCTCATCAGAAGAAGTTTCTTCAACCTCTTCTCTAGCAAGTATAGGTTCAGATGCAAAAGCTAGATCACTTTCTCTTGTACCCATATGATTACCAGATCTTCGGCCAGTTTCCCCTGAAACCCTGTTTTGGGTTTCTCCTACTGATCCTTCATCTGAAGCTTCTTGACGAGCTGTAGTTGGAATCATCCTAAGCCTGTTTATCAAGGTATTTTCTCCATTCCCCTTCTGCTTAATCATGTCCTCGTTAGCTACATCGCAGTAAGGTATTGTATTGGTGGAAACGTCATGGAATGTGGCACCTTCAACTACTAGATCTTGATGAGCTTGTTGGACTACCTGACAAATCAAAGACAAAAGAAGGCTTGTGTTGGATTACCGATCAAAAAATAAGCAGATAGTAGTTGTTCTTATTCCTTAAAGAACCAGAAACTCTGCCATTGCTATTAAGTTAATAAAACGCCATGGATCAAAATCTTCCTGTACAGAAGTATTGAGACTGGCATCTGCAATAATCTAAGTTGGTGTAAGTACAGACAAGGTCAAGGCAAGACCAAGTTTGAGCAAATTGAAACCTATGGCAAGGTCAAGCTGAGACAGCATATTTCCAAAAGGAATTTACTCGAACAATGACAGTTGTTAGTAAATAGAATGATATGGAAAGTAGAAGCTCAAACAAACAACACTGGCGAGCAGTAAAGTATTTTAGTACTACCTTTGCCCGACGGTGTTTCCTCTGTGTGTCACTTCCCCTAGAATCCTGGTCAGGATTAATGTAATCCAAGAGATCTGACACACTGCACCAAATAGCACAGGCATTTGGTACCCAAAGCTACAGTAGTGAATGAAACAAAAACAGGGAAGGTGGTGAATACCATGTCAATACCTAAGGTGACCTTTGCTTGCTATGGATGCATCTGGCTTTGGAGTTCCATTTCGCGCTGCTTCTTGCTGTTCTAGAGCTCTTGATTCAAAATAGTCGAGCCATGCAGCAGCATCCTGAATTAGAAAATGTACTAACTCGATCAGTTTGTATCATATGAAGGATGAACATAGCAGAGAGAAGTACATATACCTGTGTGCAATCTAGATTCAGAATTGGTGCAAAATCCATTTAAGAGAGAAGTGTATGTACCTGTGTCCGAAGATCATCTGGTCCAAGTTTCTCTTGTAGTATCTTAAGTGTGGTTTGCTCGTGTTGAACACTCAAGGAATATGCTTCCATCAATGACAGAGCTATGGCTATGGCATGGTAGCTTGCAGCTGTCTGCCAGCAGTAAAACAAATAGAAAGTAAGGAAAAGAAATACACACACACACACACACACACACACACACACACAGAGGAGAGAGAGAGAGAGAGAGAGAGAGAGAGAGAGAGAGAGAGAGAGAGAGAGAGAGAGAGAGAGAGAGAGAGAGAGAGAGAGAGAGAGAGAGAGAGAGAGAGAGAGAGAGGGACCTGTATATGATCCGCGCCTAATAATCTTTGGTTGCACTTTAAGGCTTCATGCAAATATCTGAGAGCAACATGAACATTTCCCATGCCCTCTTCCATCATGGCCACATTGATGTATGTTGCGGCAGTATTAGGGTGAGACAGCCCACAGGTAAAATGAAGAAGGAATAGAGCACGGTTGACATATCTATCAAAGATTAATTGCTTTGTTCAGATTTATTGAAAGAGTGAAATAGTACCATACAAAGATTTACTATGGAATATTACACATATACCAAATGTAGAGACGCAGAATGAATATGTAAACATAGATGCTCAGCAATGATGATATCATATGAATCCATGACCGAGTTAAGTAAGAGATAACTATGGTAGGAGATCGATAACTAGCTCAGTAGATCAATTTGCACTTACTTCATAGCCAACTCAATGTGCTGTTGACGATAATAAAACACAGAGAGATCCCCGTAACTTTTCATTGTATCTGGATGGTCTAGCCCAAGCTCTCTCTCATTTATATCCAGAGCCTTCTGTTGATATATAGTTGCCTAACAAGCAAAGGGCAAAGAGATAAAAGCTATTAACACTTATGAGAGTGATAACATGAGGTAATTTTTAATTAGCTACCTCTTTAAATTATACCACAAATTTTTATTCTTTATGGGGCAAATCTCAGAAGTTTGTTTCCGTTGCTTTTATAAGCTGATACACACACATCTCAGGTCTTGCTTAAAAGGGGAATACCAACATCAAAAAGTATCAAACTATTAAACTGAAGGAAGTGATTGATACCTGATTAAAGTCACCCGTGTGGTACAGAACAACAGCTAGCAGACTGTAAGCACTTGCAGTTATTCGATGATATGGACCACAAACTGCTATCATCTTTACCAGTGCCTATATTCATGTGATTGAAATTTGGAATTTGATCAGGCTAAAATCAGATAGTCTGTAAAAATGTTACATGTAGGCTCAATCAATTACCTTTGTACCACAGTCAACAGCATCCTCTAGCTTTCCTTTGTCAAGAGCAACTTTAGATGATTCCAGCAAATTCCTCCCATCAGCTGAAGAGCATCCTACATGCTGTTAAACACATAATTGAAAGGGGTTATAACAAAGCTCCTATTTAACTTCTGAGAAATTGATTGAGGAGAAGATGTCACCTTACAAACAGGGATCATGCTTATAATATCAGAACTCCTGAAGGGACAGGGGGAGTTCATGTCATAGTCCCTTGGAACCATCTCCAGCCCAACCTGTTAGAAAACTAATTAGCATGACTATAATGCCTAAATCTACTCAGAAAACAAGACCAAGCAATTAGTAAATAATAATACCTTGTGGCACAGGCCACGGAGAATAGATAATTTTCTCAAGTGCTGGTGCTCATCTTCTAGAGTCCACCCGAACCGTTTATTGATATATGTCCTCAACCATCGCAATTTCAGAGCATGATCATCTTTGAGGGTATCATTTTTATCTCCTTGACAAATTCCGAATAGGAAATTCAAAGATGATGCTATTGCTGATGGTAAGTCTGATACATCATTAACCGATGCAATAACTGCTCTAAGTACATGCTTGAAAGCTCGAGTGACCATCTCATGAATACAAAGAGATTGTATGTGTGGAAGCTTCTCTGCAAGTTTCACCTGACAACAACACAAACCAAAGCAGAACCGGAGCATGAGAATTGGAATGGGTAGAGGGGGAAGGAAATAAGTGGACCAAAGTCAACTGGTTTTTGTATATTTGTACATTTGTACATTGTTTCTAGCAAAAGTTGTACGTCCAGCTCAACAGTTATCTGAGATAGATAATTGACAAAACCATACTGAACAGAGTGCAATCATATGATTCCTTACCACCCGACCCAAAAAGCGTATCTGTAGTCCTCTCAAATGCATAAAGTCGGTGAGTGTGCGGCCATCGACAGGAGAAAGCTCTAATAAGCCAAAGTCTGCGACCTAACGAATGGTGGGATAAAAATAATAAGCCAAGCGACACATTTGGGAGTTCAAATTAACTACTGGTAGAAATCTCACCAACTTGGGCAAAGCAATTTCATCATGGTAGTTGTATGCCATTTGAACAAGCTCATCCAGAGACTGTTGCAGAAGTTGACTCAAGGTAGTTAGTCGAGCAAGAAAAAGTGATACATTCAACATATTTTAGAACTAAAAAATGGCATTGGCTCAAAGATTATGCACCCACCAACCTACTTCAAGATATATGCATTTAGATAGAGGGGCTGGGCAGTTACAGGAACCACCATGAACCCTACCTAAGTAAAATAAAATAGAAAAGCTTCACTGAAAGGAACCTTTAAATGAAGCCCAGTTTTGGTTTCTTCCAGACGCACGAAGGAATCAACAGATAGCACTTTCTTCAATTCATCACCAGTGTTCTCGCGATTACTTTGGCTGCATAGGTCAGTTCCTTCACTTTTGCTGTACAGGTCACTTTCAGCCTCTTTCGTCTCATCCGTGACACTTTCAGCAGGTTTCTCATCTCTCTTCTTCAAAAATTTGAACTCTTTTCCTAGACCTTTCACTGCATGCTCAATCTGATCACTTTCCTCGGAACTACTAGAATTGGGCTCGGTCGCTGCTTCTCGCTTTTGCAGATGCTGCAACCAACATGATCCTAGTTCCCATCTGACTGACCTCTCAGATACAACTGGTTCTTCCTCTATCTTAGTTAAATTCTCATTTAAAATTTTCTGGGTAAGGCACGTCAATTCTTCTGCATTGTCAGGACTAGACTTAGGTGTCGGCAATCCTTGTGATCCAGAACTGACACACCGGTGAAGCAGAATCCTCAAGCTGCACGAATTTCTAATCTCATAAGCAAGATAATGAAGACCATGAAACAGGATTCATCTTTAAAGAGAACATATCATAATTATGAGGAACCTTGCCTCTCACTGGAAAGAAAAACAAAACTATTTCATACATATTAAAGTATAGTTTTTCATTTCGTTCATTCACTGTGTATTCAGAATTTTCAGATCCATCATCTATAGAAGTTATTAGATTCTTGAATCGAGTTCCTAACAGAGAACAAGCAAGTTGAAAGGAACATGAGCATGCACTTCGAAGATGAAACTTCATTTCTGGTTATAAATGAAGAATCAAACTAAATCCGTCAAAGGAAAATGGGCCACATGCATCAAAAGCTAGCAACATTTTCTTTTAACATCGTCTGCAAAAGAGATGATTCACAACAAAATTAACCATCTGAACAGAGAGGAAACCTAACTAATGACTCATTGCCTACATAACTTGATACAAGGGATTTCTACTAGCAAACCACTGTGAACTATCAAATCGTTGTACTAGTGAGGGAGTCATTGGTAAAGCAAACCTGTTAGTGTTTAGAGCATTGGCTCCACCATCCAGTTGATCATCAATTTCAATGTCTTGGACAGATGTAGTCTTGTCCACATCACCAACAACTCTAACTGTTGCAGTGTATCCACACTGTCTTACAGTCACAACCCCTAATGACGAAGTATCCTACACAAACATAAACAAAAGTTCCAGTATTCATTATTCCAAATATTAGAGACACAATTTTATCAAACACAATTGTCTTTGAACATTGTGACTCTTCAAAATGCAGCTTTCAAAATGAATGTTATTATCTATGAGCGTGAGGATAAACAATGCTTCTAAGAATGGAAAGTGCAGGGAAGGGCAATGACTCACATTAATGATAACACTCTCATCTGCAGTAAGGCCTTTCAGCAAGTTCTTCTGGTCGACTTCTTTGGCAGAGGTATTAGACAGCCGATCAACATTGACTTTCAGACTGGACTTCAAGCTCTCATCTGTCTCATCATTAATAACAACAACCAACAAGTCTCCAACACGTTCCTCAAAGAGGACTCTGTCTTTTGCACGTATATTAGAATCAATTATCTGATGTATTGCTCTAGTCGCCTTATGAATTGAGACATCAACAAACAGGTTGTGAAGCAAAAAGGCCTTCCTGTCCCGTACTAATCTCTCTTCTTCAGTCTTGCAAGGAAGTCTAGCAAGTATTGCAAACTCTGTGGCCCATGGTCGAAGGTCGTGCATGCCATTTTGTCCTAAACCTCCACCACTGCCACCCCAAGAATCATCCTCTGCAGGCAGGGGTGCGAACTTTGAAGGAGACTCGACAACAGAAGGAGGAACCAGCCAGGTATTTGAACGAAACCCATATGGGAGGTTTCCAAACTGGAAAGTAGAAGCAAATGTTTCAGCAAAACTTCACCACAGAAACACATAAAACTCCTAGTGGAATTCAGATATATACAAAATTTTGTCACCTTATTGTGATCCACAAAAGCTTCCATGAGGGAATCATACGCCTGCCTTGACAACATCCAACAATTAAAAGCATTCAAGTGGAACCAGTCAGTTTCTGAAGAAACCCAGCAAGGCAGCAACAGTAGAGAATGACAAAACACAGCGGCGCTAGAAATCCAACCAGAACATAAAAAACTGAGCAACATGAATTTACTGACATTTGCAAAAGCTTGGCTGAGATTTTGCAGAAGATCCACCAAGGAGTGACTTTGGGAGAACTGCTTCCCAGCCACATAAAACCCTTTTACTGATGCAACCACATGCAGCTGCTTTCCATTGGATATCTTAATCTGCATAATTCAGTAGGAGTTCATTCAACAGAGTTGCCAAAGGGAATTAACATTGATGCAGTACAAAATTCGACTTCTGGTCATTGTCTAACCATACCATCCGCTCATCACCTCATTTTGGCATCATTAGGTTCTCTCAGGCGTCAAAGAGATTATTTGTTCAAACACACAAGAGAAAGCAGAAAAAGGAGCGGAGAGAGGATAGAACACCTGCATCTCAAAATGATCGCCTTCGCGTCTTGATTCTTTTCCACTGCTACATCTCTTCAAATCTGCAACCAGAAATTACTCAACTATCGAACTCGAACAGGAGCGAAAACCAAATTGGGGAAAAAGCGAGGCAAGGAGGAGGCCCAGGAGATTGTATAGAGAAGAGAATTACTGAGAATTGGAGAAGCCAGGTGGGAGAAGGAGAAGAAGTCGTAAAATTCCGACAGCTTTGGCGTCGGGTGGATTGCCACCATGTCCAAGCCCTCCAAGTTGGCCGACGACCGCGCCTCTGGCGTTGTGGATGCTGTTTGTCCTCCATTGCTGCTGCCTGCGTTGCTCCTTGTGGATTTGGATTCCGGCGGTGAGGACCGTCGGGGCTTGGCGAACGCGGTGGTGCAGGCCAGAATATCAAGGAGCCTCCGGACGTGTGCGACGGACTGCGATTCCGACGCATAGTCCTCTGCATTATCAAGCAAGACGACGGGTAATTAGCATAAATGGTCACAAACCTTTGCACTTAGTACAAAACAGTCACAAACCTTTAATTTGTAACCATTTGATAACAAAACTTTTTACTTAGAACAAAACGGTCACAAATTAAACAGTGTGACCATTTCATACCAGTTCAAACTTTTGTTACCGTGTCGTTGCAAATTAGACTTTTGGTGACCGTTTTGTACAAATTAAGTTCAAAAGTTTGAACGCTCAATCACCGTTACAATTCGCTCTAGTTGTATGGTGGTTTTGTTAATGTATGTGAATGATATGATCGTCATAAAGGATGACAATGAGAGAATTCAATGGCCCACAAACGGGTTCCAGACTGCTTTATAGTTGAAAAAACTATGTCTACTTTCTTGGTATCGAAATTTGTTTTTGATAGATTGGTATCGAAATTGAAAGGTCAACTGAGGACATTCTTATTTGGCAAAGCAAATATGTCGATGAACACATGAGCTGACATCTTATATGTTGTTCAAGTGGTTAGTGTCATATACTTAACGAACAAACTACCCAACCTCAAAACATGACAAACATTTAATTTGTAACGATTCGGTAACAAACCTTTTCATTTAAAACAAAACGGTCACAAATTAAATAGCGGTGACCATTTTATACAATTTCAAAGTTTTGTTACCATATTGTTACAAATTAAAGATTTGTGACCGTTTTGCACTAAGTGCAAAGGTTTGTTACCATTAATGCTAATTACCCGCAAGACGACGCACGAAATGTGAATCACGCTGGACGACCAATGAACTTTTCTTACAGCTTCTAATTTCACTCTTACGAGTTACAAAGTTCCAGTTGGATATTTGAAAAGTTACCAGTGGTAACACGAGCCCCTTAAACTTTAAAGTGTTTACTATTAGAGTCCATAAATTATTATTTTCTTCTTAAACTGATCGTGTTCATTTTGGTCATGTAATTAGAATAATTTTCAATTTTGGTCATGTAATTAGAATGACTACCTTAATCAAGGACACCATATGTTCATAAGACTTCGATAACCGATACCCTAATAATCGAAAAAGTTTTAATCTGGAAAATAAGGGTGATTTGCCAAATTGTACAACAGTGATGACGACGAGCTAGTGTTGATGTGGTATTGTCGCAAATCAAATGCCGCACGATCTAGTTATGCGGACAAAAGTTTATGCCTAACTTCTAACCAATCAATGATGTATTACCATTGCCGACGGCCAGCCAAGAATCCGTTAAAAACCCTTAAATTTAGCCGCCTAAGACCGACGAAGATGACAAAAGAATCACGCAGTCTTAATCAAATCGCCAACAATGAGCCTAACCTGTAGTCCTAAGATCCAACGCCGGCGGCGGCGTTTGTTATGCTGTTGTATTGTACATGCTGTTTTGTAATGACACCTTTTGTTTTCCAATAGGGAAGGGAGCCGTAAGAGTTTGAGTTTGACCACACAAACAACTAATTAAGAGGAAATTGTTTATTAATTTAGCCCCCATTAATAATAGAGATTGACAATCATGTCCCTCTCGTCTCCTACCACGTTTTCCCAACTTCTCCACTAAATTTTCGAGGAATGGTGACTGGTAGCTAGCATTAAATTACGAGACTCACACAAAGTGCTCTGTTTATTTTTTGCCCCCCTGCCTGGGATAACATTTTCTTATGGTCGTTAGCGTATATTGAAACGAGATCCGCATGCAAAGTTAATTAAATGAGAAATTGATTAATTAATGTCCATGGTAGTGGCATGAAATGAAAGACTTGAATTAAAGCGCAGAGAGTAAGTAGTTAATTATTAATTGGTGAATTTAATTAGGAGACTCCTACCTTCAACGATCTTCAAAACGCAGGGCTTCAGCGCAGTAATCTCCACTTTGTCACTTAGCCTCCCTCCCTTCACCTGCGTTTCATTTATGCAACCAAATAAATAAATAAAAAAAATTGGTCAGTAATTAAGTATAGTAAATAATTCTAGTTATAGTACAATAAAAAAACAACGGGGGACCAGAAGAGTAATGAAAATTAAATTTCAGTACGGTAGTAGGCGAAAGCGAAGAGAGCAGAGCAGAGGGAAGGCGGGGACCTGATGTGAGAGAGAATAGTTGGTGAGGTGGCAGGTTTCCACATTCTGAGCCAATAGCCGCTTCACGTCCAGTATCCTATCCGTGGAGATGCCCTGCTCAGTGAACCCCTCAAAAAGACAACAAAATTAAATATCACACAACACAATACCCAAGTGAAGTTGTCATCATAAATGAAAATTTGACTATCATCATGCTTTAAACCAAAAAAATACAATGTACCCAATCGATCGATCTAACGATATCAGCACGTGTTATTAGAAACACCGCGTATCGTCCTCGGTATCGTAGCGAGGATTGAACTACGTACGACACGGTATATACTTTTTTTTCGCTTTTTGTTGTCGTTTTGTAATTAGGATGGAGATACCAATGTAAATATTGGTCACTGCTAGATATTCTGATTAAGGTGCCTAGGGAATGTGTTCCCATATAAGGGACCTGGAAAATAAACCTATTAATCAAACGAACTAGATATAATTAATTATCACCGAGTGACACATGCAGTGATAACACATATAAAATCCCTCGATTAATCAAACCAGATTGTGTGGAAAATGATGATAACATCAATGCTAATGACAATATTAATGCACTTCCGCAGTATATTAATTAAAATAGTAGCGAGCCTAGCAGGTACCTTGAGAACAAGGCGGGAATCATAGGGAGTGATGACGGTAATATCAACAAGACTAGGCACCACCACTGAAACACACAAAAAAAACAAACATCAATTATTATTATTTATTAATGCTGAAATTTGCTCAGCTATACAGCAATTAATTAAGTCCGAAATTCAAATTAATGCAGAGATATAGAGAGAGAGAGAGAGAGGGGGAGACCTTTACGATGGTGATCCTTCTTTTTCTTGTCAGCAGCCGCCGCAGCAGAAGCTGCAGCTGCAGCTTTGGACTTGTGATGGTGGGACTTGTGGCTGCCCCTTCCGGACTTGGGCGCCATGCTAGCTAGCTGGCTTCTCTTGCGATCAGCCGCCCGCTCTAACAATTACAGAGATGCGCAACTAATGGACCGGCTGCCGCGCCGATGAGAGAGGCCGGAATTAATTAGACTCTTATCTCGCCGGGAAAACAGCACCGATTTTGAGATGCACGAAAGAAAGAAGGAAGAAAGGGAAGAAAGAACGAACTAAGCAGAGAAAGAGATGGAAGGGAAATCGAGAGGAAAAGGGAGTGAGGAAGAGGATAGGGGTGGGATAAGGCAGAGGGGGGGATTGCTCTATTAATACTGTGGCCCAAACGTAACGCTGATTCTCTCTCTCTGGGGGATTTGGGAGCAATGCTGGCCGTTACTTGGCTTCTCTAGCCTGACTTCTTACCCCCACTTTTCTTTTTATCTCTCTCTTGACACGCGGAGGACAGTAGTGTTCCTATACACTCTGGCGTAACGCATTCGTTGGCCTTTTCCGCCTGTGGACCATTTAATTTTATTTACACCATTGGATTTTGGGGGGTTGGGGGACAGAGAAGAGGCAAACATGCACCCGCCCGCGCGTGTGTGATTGGGTTCGTTCGTGCGAGCGAGGCCACGAGAAGAACACCACCTCCCCTCTCACTCTCATTTCGTCATGTTTTCAAATTAGGTCCCTTAACTTTCTCATGTTAGCTTTTTCCACCACATGTAGTTTTGGCACTAGCTAGCTTCTTCTTTTCCCAATCCTTCTTCGTACTAATGCCATTCATGTTTTCAGTCTTTATAATACCTTGCACAAAATGGTAGTGAATACGGGTTTTTTTTAACACAAAAAAGGGGGCCACAATTCGAACTGTGAATGAACAGAGAGTAAGATCTCAAACAAGTAGCAAGATAATAAGAGGATGTTTAGAAAATGTGTCAGCTGATTAACCAAGTAAGTGGAGTCACATACCCACAAAAAAATGCTACTTCCCCTCCCCCTTCTTTATGAAACGAAACAATGAAGAGACAAAGAACCCACAACTTAGTCATACAAAAGCGCAGTGTCTGATTTGAATGTCGGTGTGAGTAATAAAACGAGTATCTAGAGAATGAGTATGACCCTCATTTACCAACACAGTCGGGTAAATATGCTTGCCTCTGTATAATGAGTTGTGTCAATCTCCCAGTCAAGTTAAAGAAGTAAGTTGCAATGTTTCGGGATTCGTACCCTACCGTCTTGCCGGATTGGTAATACTGGGTATTGACAATAATAGGCAGTTTTAGCGGTATAAAATGACTAAACAACGATTAAATTATGATTTTAGTACAAAATACCATATTATTGAAATTTTTTACAATAATCTCTCAACGGTTATACAATCCTTGAGCGGAAGGCAAGAATGTAACTGACAAAAAATAAAGGAGCAAAACTGAGATGTCTGAAAGTAGAGAGAGATAAATGGAATTTCTGTTCACGTTGAGGTTGTAGAAGGAAGTTTGGACCCAGAGTTTTTTTTTTTTTTTTTTTTTTTTGAAGGAGAAGGTTGGTGGGAAGTTTATTAAATTAAATTATTAATGAGCTAATTAATGCAGTTTGAAAATTGAAAGTAGGCGGACTGGTTTTTGTTTTATCACGTGTTAGAGACTGTTTGGGCTTTTTATCAGTGCAGCTGTGCAGGCCCCAATTTCTAGATTCTTCGAATGCTACTAATTTGTCCATCTTCAAATTGGATCTTTCACAACAGATCCAGTTGGAACCTTTGTAATTTGTTTTATTTAAATTTGGGCTAAATTGCAAGTTTGGTCACTCGAATTGCTACAAAATTTCATGTTTGGTCACTCGAATTCGTTTATTCCATTCGTAGTCACTTAAATTAGTTGAACAGTCCAAGTTTGGTCACTCTCCGTTAACCTCCGTCAGACTCCGTTAGTGCCGTTAGTTAACTGCTGACGTGGCTAACAGAGATGTCTAGTCACCCAATTTTAACCCAAGAAAAAACAAAAATTGATCCGCCACATCAGAAAAACATGCCACCTCATATTAACACAACCCAACCCACCTAACCTAAAAAAAACCATTAACCCACCCAGAAATCAAACCCGTGACCCATCCACCCTTCTTCTTCCTCTATACCCTACATCCGCCGCCGCCGGGGGATTTCCATGCTGGACAAGAGTCGAGTTGCGGTAGCTGAAAATGGTGGTGCCGCATGCGACTTCTTATCACGCGGCTGCGGCAACAATGCCTCCTCCGGATAAGTTCCCGGAATCAGCGAAGGCCGACAATAACAACATTTTGTCGGATTCGAAGCCACCGTTGACTGGCGGATCAGATGCTAGAGATATGGTGGAGTCGGAAGAGGAGCCCAGATCGCCGATTAAAGAATCTGCATCCTCTGCTCATTGATTGTTTCTTCACCATTATCCCGCCCATGTCGACACAAACTAGGAACTGTTTGGATCTGTAGATTTCGATGGCTATGGCTTGGGCGAGCTTTGTTTTCCCGACGCCGGAAGCACCGTCGAAGAGGAAGCTTGCGAGGGGTCAGTTTGCGTTTCTGGCACCGGCTTGGGCACGACGAATTGCTTGCCCGACTTGGTTGACCGCTTCGTCTTGTCCAATCACGTGAGCCTTGGAGTTCTCCGGAGCCATTCATCGGAAACAGAGTCCCAATTAAAGTCCCTTTAATTTTTGCCGGCCAATAGTTACAGGAAGTCAAAAACTAATTTAATTGCAGATTTCCCCAAGTGTGTCTGCTTATTTTCTCTTTTTGGGTCCATAATTTTGTATCATTTTCAGAGACCCCCAGTCGACTCTTGTCCGGCGGCGGCAGATGTAGGGTATAGAGGAAGAATAGAGGAAGAAGAAGGGTGGATGGGTCACGGGTTCGATTTCTGGGTGGGTTAATGGTGTTTTTTAGGTTGGGTGGGTTGGGTGGGTTGGGTTGTGTTTATATGAGGTGGCATGTTTTTCTGACGTGGCAGATTAATTTTTGTTTTTTCTTGGGTTAAAATTGGGTGACTAGACATCTCTGTTAGCCACGTCAGCAGTTAACTGACGGCACTAACGGAGTCTGACGGAGGTTAACGGAGAGTGACCAAACTTGGACTGTTCAACTAATTTAAGTGACTACGAATGGAATAAACGAATTCGAGTGACCAAACATGAAATTTTGTAGCAATTCGAGTGACCAAACTTGCAATTTAGCCTTTAAATTTGATTTTGCATCAGTTAATGACATTTTTTCTACTGGAATGGGCTGTTCACTTATTGCTAATTCTCACGCCCATTTTTCAAGACAAGGGTTACTAACTCACTATGATCCGTTATGATATATAAGTTTGCTTATATGATTTTGTCGGTATTCCCTTCAACCGTTATGATATATAAGTTTGCTTATATGATTTTGTCGGTATTCGCTTCAACCGTTATGATATATAAATTTGCTTATATGATTTTGTCGGTATTCGCTCAAACGTTATGATATATAAATTGACTTATATGATTTTGTCGGTATTCACTTCAACCGTTATGAATATAAATTTGCTTATATGATTTTGTCGGTATTCGTTGTAAGTAGTTAGTATGCGATTGGTTTTAATTAAATTTGATTTTATATTAGTTATTGACATATTTTCCATTGTAATGGGCTATTGACTTATCACTATTATTCACACTACGATCACCACTTCAACCGTTATGATATATAAGTTTACATATATGCTTTTGGCGGTATCGTTGTAGGTAGTTAGTATATGATTGGTCTTAATTAATTTTGATTTTGTACCGATTATTGATATATTTTTCACGGTATTTGTTGTAGGTAGTTAGTATATGATTGCTCTTAATTAAATTTGATTTTATATTAGTTATTGACATATTTTCCGAAGTCATGGGCTGTTGACTTATCACTATTATTCACACCCATATTTCAAGACAAGGGTCACTATGATCACCGTATCAACCGTTATGATATATAAGTTTTACATATATGTTTTTGTCGGTATTCATTGTCGGTAGTTAGTATATGATTGGTCTGAATTATATTTTCTTTTGCGTCAATTATTAACATATTTTTCACTGTAATGGGATGTTGACTTGTCAGTGTTCGTTGTAGGTAGTTAGTATATTATTGGTCTTTTTTATGATGTATAAGTTAACACGTTTGATTTTGTCGTTATTCCCTGTAGGTAGTTAGTATGTGTTTGATCAATTTTTGTCATGATGTATAATTTAACATATATGATTTTGTCGGTATTCCTTCTAGGTAGTTAGTATGTATTTTGTTGGTATTCCTTGAAGGTAGTTAACATGTGTTCGATCAACTTTTTGTTATGATGTATAAGTTAACGCACAAGATTTTGTCGGTTTCTTGTAGGTAGTTAGTATGTGTTTGGTCGACATTCCTTGTAGGTAGTTAATATACGTTTGGTCAAAAAATTTCTTATGACGGATGTATAAGGTAACACATACGATTATGTTTGTATTCTTTGTAGGTAGTTAGTATGTGTTTGGTCCGCATTCCTTGTAGGTATTCATTGTCGGTAGTTAGTATATGATTGGTATGAATTATATTTTCTTTTGCGTCAATTATTAACATATTTTTCACTGTATTGGGATGTTGACTTGTCAGTGTTCGTTGTAGGTAGTTATTATATTATTGGTCTTTTTTATGATGTATAAGTTAACATGTTTGATTTTGTCGTTATTCCTTGTAGGTAGTTAGTATGTGTTTGATCAATTTTTGTCATGATGTATAATTTAACATATATGATTTTGTCGGTATTCCTTGTAGGTAGTTAGTATGTATTTTGTTGGTATTCCTTGAAGGTAGTTAACATGTGTTCTATCAACTTTTTGTTATGATGTATAAGTTAATGCACAAGATTTTGTCGGTTTCTTGTAGGTAGTTAGTATGTGTTTGGTCGACATTCCTTGTAGGTAGTTAATATACGTTTGGTCAAAAAATTTTTATGACGGATGTATAAGGTAACACATACGATTATGTTTGTATTCTTTGTAGGTAGTTAGTATGTGTTTGGTCCGCATTCCTTGTAGGTATAATATGTGTTTGGTCAATTTTTTGTTATTATGTATAAGTTAACGCATATAATTTTGTCAATAAATCTTTTAGGTAGTTAGTATATATGTGTTTGGTCAAAAAAAAAATTATGATGTATAGGTTCACTACATAACCATATGATTTTGTCGGTATTCCTTTTAGGTAGTTAGTGTGTGTTGGGTCGTTATTCCTTGTAGGTAGTTAATACTTAATATGTGCATCGTCAATTTTATAATATGATGGATGAATAAGTTAGCGCATATGATTTGTCTGTATTTCTTGTAGGTAGTTAGCATGTGTTTGGACGTTATTCCTTGTAGGTAGTAGT